GACAATATAGTCAACCAAAAGTCCTTCCATTGGACTCATAACAGAGGCAACCACAATATCAGAAGAAGGAAAAAAAGATGATAGACATCAAATATCAAAGCCAAAGATCAATGATGAATATCAACATGTGATAAAAGTAATATAACATCTAAACAACTTATAAATCAAGATATCACATCATGAATAAAGTATGCATCATGTCAAGTACATATGAAAACCAAAAATGCAAAGCATATAAGGGTGAAGAACCCTAAACAGACATCAAAAGTCAAAGTATCCAAACAAGATGGACAAAGATGAAATGAGAACAAAGAAGGTAAGTAGCTACATCACATAATGTTCAAATCATGTGAAAGATTAGAAGAGGAGCAAAAGCACACAAGACATGCATTACACCAACACTCAAACAATTGCCCACACATAACTCATGCAAAACACACTTCAAAAGATTAGCCATGTGGAATGAAGGTTTGAAACCAAGTAAGGGCATCAACATAATCATGAACATTAACTTAAAAATCAACTCACAAATACAAAAGAGAAGCAACAAGGATCAAATCCAAAACATGTATCAAAACTAAGCAAGCATACATCATGGTCATCCTTAAAGAAAATGAGGTGTTCAAGAAATGCACAAAGCACAAATGATCAAGTAAGGCATACCATGACATCAAGGTCAGAATCAAACACAAGTAATTCAATTCATATTCAATTCCAAAGCATCACGCAAGTTCAACAATAATCATGCTGAAAAACTAGGTAAACGTTACCCATAACAAAAACAAAGATGATTGTGTGAAGAAAAGAATGAGAGTGAATCATACCAGGATCAACACAACATGAAAATCAAGCTCTCAAACATGTCATTTTAATCATACAAGAACTCATAGGAATTCATTAGGGTCATACAAGAAATCATTTTGAGAAACTAGGTCAAGCACCAAATGAGTAAGCTCAAAACAATCACCATCTTAAGAATTCAACCAAGAATAGGAAAATAGACAAATGATAGTGAAATCAAAGCCATACTCAAGTCAAGACAGCATGTAATCACATTCAACAAGCATTTCAAACTTCAATCAAGCACAAGTGATCAAAGTGATTGGAAACTAGGTCAAGCATCAAACATTTTCAATTAAAAGAAACAAGCTACAGTTAGGCATCAATCAAGATAGAAGAAATGACCTAATGAAACTCAAACAAAGCTTCTACCTCATGGTATTTCGATCAAGAACAAGGGAGAACAAACCCTAAGTGGTTGCACAAGTGCACCTCTAACCAATCCATAAAGTTCAAACACAACCAAACAATTAGGTAAGCAATGCATCACTCAAGAAAAATAGTTAAGAGGCTTCGAGAATTATGAAAAAATGGTCATTACATCAAGAAGGCAGTGGCTCAATGTGCTCTAAAAGAGTGCCTAAGAATGTATACAAAAGATGTTCAAACCATCTCAAACATTGGGCAAACACACGATCCATTGATCAGAGAAGTTAGGCATCAAGAAACATTTCAAACAAGAACCAAAATACATGATCAAGACATCAAATGAATATTCAAATTCCCTACATACATGTGCCTAAAAGTGTGCAAAATATTGGATCAAGAATCAATTGGAAAAGATATGAATCAAAGCATAGGTTCAAAGACTAGGTCACATTGACACAATACACAATAAAATCCAAATATAATAAATAAATAAAAATAAAAATAAAAAAATATGAAAAATTAAATAAGACATCAAAGTAATAAAAAAATATTGTTGCGGAATTTTTAGGTATTTGGAGCTATTAATATAAAAACAGAATATAAAATAGAAAGAAAATAAATAAAATACAGAAATAAAATGATGAGGGGTGCACAAGTAATTCAAGTTAACAAAGGAATTCAGTGTAATGCGCAATTGGGCCAGAAACTAGGCGTGCCAATAGCAAGAATGCCAAGGCCCAACCCAAACTTAGTCTGAATTAAAAAAAATAAAGGACTCAAGGTGAAACACATCGTTCTACTTGTCCTCGTCACCAGCTACACACACACTAAACCAGCAAGTCAAAGAGCCAAAAGGGCCACATAGGATAAACACCTTAGCAAACATGTCAACCACCAGAACCCTACTCTCGTTTAGGGTTTTGTTTCGTCTCTATATGAGAGTTTAGGAGTGTTTTTGAAAGCCCGTGTGGAAAAAAATGGATTCTTTGGAATTTTTGACAAAAATGAGTGAGAAACGGGGCATACGGGTAATGGCAAGTATTGTCATGAGAGATGTGTGAAATGGATGGCACATGGGAGAGGAAATGTGAGCCAACTTTTGCTTCTTTGGTAACAAAATTCAAATGAAAATATGAAGTACATGATCCATGCTTGGTCACATTAGGCAATATTTGGTGATGCAAGATGATAGTGATGATGTAGTACATATGACAAAAGAATTTTGAAGCCAAAAGTTCAAAGGAAAGATCCTTATAGCAAAGATATGATGCATTATGGTCATATGCATGCATGACATTTCAAATGAGTATATATTGATAGATTTTTGTCATGGCCATGAAATATTATGATCAAATTGAAGCAAAAAGGATGATGAGAAATTTTCATGTTAACAACTTCTTGAATTGAAGCTTAAAAAGTCATGGATTCTAGCCTTGAAGTGAATGACCAAAACTAGGTCATAGAAAATGGAATTGGCTTAGAAAGATCATAACTTGAGTTCTACACATGGAAGTGGTAAGTTCTTGTACTTTTCTGGAGAGCTTAGTTGATGAAGAAGAACTCTTATGTTGAAAGAATTTTGAGGAAAATCTTGGATCCATGTGAAATTTGTCTTAGAAGTTGGTCACCTTTGGATGATTCCAAGTCTTTTCAACTTTGAGACATCATAACTTGAGATTTGTAAATCCAATGGAAGATTTCTTTAGATCAAAAGAAAGCTTAGAAAAAGTTCAACAACTTTTATGTTGATGGAAAGAAGAGATGAAGCTTGTATTATAGTGAAACTTGCCATGGAAGTTAGGTGTTAAAGGAGGGGTTTTACACTTAGAAACTTCTAAAACCCTAATTTAGCAACCTCTTGATTTTACGACTCTCCTTGATTTTTCTTGATTAAACTTCACCATAGCACTTGTAATGACTTGAGATGACCTCTCATGACCTAGATGATCAAAAGTCAAGCTTTGAACTTCTTCATGACCACAACTGACTTTTCTTTGCCAGATGAAAATCTTGACCATTCCTCTGCCCAAATGAACCTCCGAGGGACTTTGTGACGAGACAAGAGACATATAAGAACCTTGGAATGTATAATGATCCAAATGAACAAGACTTGCTTCAAAAATCAACTACAATACGTCTCCAGTTAAAACCATAGCCTCAGAGCCACTACTAGCTTTATCAACTACACAACCTTGTAACCCTAATATTGGTGAACACATGATCTTGACGAGATGTCTTGGAGTAGATGAATCCTTGGCTTGAAATCATGTCTTGATCAAAAGTTCAAATGTGCAGTTAACCTTGGTTGAAAAACCCTAGTTATTGATTATGTACCATTGAATCTTTGAAACCCTTGATGTGAGGCCATTTGATTCTTTGACATTCGATGGAGGGGGATCTCTTAAGAATATGAGAATTTTATGGGTTGAAGATCTCTCCAAAGCTTGACTGGTCAACCCCCTTTACTTCCTTGGAATAAACCCTAATTCACAGATAAAGAAAAAGCAAACAAAACAAGTCTGGATAATGGGTTAGTCATGTATGGATGATTGACCTAAAATGATGCAAGATGATGCAAGAGGAGGTGAAATCTTAGGGTTAAAATTAGGGTGTGACAACAACTTCAAGACTTCAAGTTTCTTTGCTTGATGAAACTTTGTATAACAACTTCAACTAGAACTTGACACATTTGACTAATAAAGCTTATGATATCTCTTTCTTGTCCTGATGTCGTCATCTGAAACTTTTGGCAGAGTTATCGCGATTGAAACCATTTCACAATTGTCATCAACACAACCATTTGACAATTGCCATTATCAAAACCATTTGATGACATTACCTACACAACACATAAATGTACAAAGGTGTGGCCTCTCTACCGTAGTTATGTAGGTTCACACGAGAGACTTTCTCAAAGTGACGTTCTAGTGACGAAATAAGTATTTAATGCACATGTTCCCAAGACAACCTACTCTTACTCAATTTATCACAAGTGTCTTCCCAAACCCGAAGAACTATTCTAACGATCACATAACATCAAAAGGAAATTTCACTAAGGTTGGTCACAATAATTTTATAATAGCCATAACTTCGTATCTAATATAAATGACACAATTAGATTGACCCAATACGAAAGGACAATTAAAAATTCTGTCAATCCAGATTGGAGAACATGTGTACTCTCACTAGAAGTCCACATTAAAGGCATGCACCACAAAGATGTAAACATTTTGAATCCATCTAACTTCCCCCTCACACAGGATGAGGCGTTCACCGAAGGCGTTCTAATTGTTATTCATATATAAGTGTAATCTTGCATCACACTAAGGTACAATTCATGACACACTTGCAAATTCCTTCTTTATGAATTCACTAACTTAAGTGTTAAAATATTAATCTTGGAGGTACACTTGTCTTTGCCCACTTAATACTTTTACCTCTGTGTGTTAAATGTCTTCCACGTTGGACATTGCCAACCTACCATCCACATCGGAATAACTTTGATAGTCAATTTACTTTGGTATATTTCTTACTCTTTATATGACTTTTAAATGTTAATGTTTAACCACACAAAATTTGTTAACTTTATTTTTACTTTGAAAGAAAAATATACAAGAGAGGTAATATTTGAGTACTATTAAAGGGGGTATGGTTAACAATTTTCAATTATGTTATTAGGCCCGTTTTTACTTTTTGAGCCCATCAACGAAAACAAGGTTTTAGCTTGGTAGAACCCTGAAACGTTGCGAGTGCATAACCAACGCAAGCCCTAAAATCTCTCCGATAAGAAAATGGCTTCCGTTGCCGGAAACACCGCGAGGTCGATATTCCGATCATCCTCCGCCTGCCGTACTGCATTCCGATTCGGTTCGGAAGCTAAAGCGGCTCGTTCTCCTTTCCGAATCGCCTCCAATAAACCTACATCGCAATCCGCATTCAGGTAACTGAAATTGCTCTTTCGGTAGCATTTACCTGAATCAGTCGTTTTTTTACATGCTCCGTAGTGCTGAATTTAGTGTTAGTTCAATTGCAATATGGTTAATTAACTAAGCTAGAAATGAATGAATTTGATTAATTTTGTGTGTGGAATTGTTTGTGTATGAAGGAGCCCTGTTGAGTTGAGCTTCTGTGTGGAATCAATGTTGCCGTTTCATTCAATAACTGCTTCTGCGTTGATGACTTCAAAGCTAGTAGTTTCTCAACGCAGCTATGGTTGGCTTCCTGAAGGTATTGTCTCTGATACTACTACAATGCAATTATCATGCGTTGCTGAAAAGTTCAGTTTTGTTTTATTTTGGAATTTTAAAGGGTTTTTGTTTTAGTGGCATTATTTTTTGTTTGAAGGTTTTTGTGTAATACATTTCCGCATTTTTAGCTTTTGTTTGCATGTTAATTGAAAGTCCATATTATTAACTCTAATTATATTTGATTTAACTATAAGAGAAGCTATTGCGAAGGATTTCGAGATTAACAAATTGGATAGAAGCATGAAATTTGATCCATGTAGCAACCCCATTTAGTGGGAAAAGGCTTGGTTGTTGTTGTGTTGTTGTATATTTGATTAAACATTCTCAATATCTTGCAAATGGCATCTAAAACATCTTCCTTTTCTTTATCCCTTGTTTGCTGGTTGGGAGCTTACCGAGAGTTGTTTGAAGAAAATGCGGTTTTCGGAATATATTTTATAGCTAAATAGGACTAAAAAGAGTAGTATTGTAGTCCCACCCTATGGGTCACCTCTGATCATTTTTATTGCCTGACAGACGGGTTTTACTTTTAAATTAGGTGGCTAAACATCTGTAGGATTCCTTGTGTTCTTTCTTCAATTTATTTTTCGGGTAAGCTGGTGTATTTTTTGAATTCTTGGGTTATAAACTTAATGGAGTCTGGTTAGTGTTGATATGCAATGCATTTCAAATATATATGAAATAAAATTACCAATGTTCTTGGGAAAAGTGGATGATATATGATATATCTGATGTAGACTGCATCTTTCTGCAACTATTATTCTTGTAGGAAAGATTGATGGATTAAGTTATTCCCCAAATCTTCTGCTTTTCTTGTTCTAAAACAACTAAAAATCATCTTCTCTTTGTTTGTAGGCAAAGAGAAGACTATTTGAAGATCAAGAAGCAAGGTTGGGATGACATGGACCTCTTATGGTGTTCGGCTTTAAACAAAAAGAAAATAATCTGATTAAGAAAACTTGCTAGATATATATCCCTAATTATTTATTACATTTAGAGCAAATTTGTCTGCTCTTGGGTTAATGAATATCATTAAGCTGGATTCTCAGTTTACTTTGTGTTTTAGGAAATAATAATTTCTGTTTTTATCAAGTATATTGTTCAATATTTTATGCATCTTGAATGTATTTGTCGAGACTTTAAATATGATTATTGGACTTTTTTTTATCATGTTCAAAGTCCTAATTATATTTCTTCTTATTCTTCTGCTGTATCTAAAACCTATAACTTGAAATCAATTTATTTCCTTTGTATGTTTGTTTGATTATTTGAAATATTATATGCATCTGTTTTGTGGGATTTGGCTTATCACTAAATCCATAACTGATTCAATTTCTAGGATCAATTGATAATAAAATACTTATTTCTTTTGTTTAATCAGATTGCAATGATGATGTGTGATAAGTGTTCTGAAGATTGAAGCAATCTTTTTTGTAATATCCGCATATCCGCTTCTTGAGGGTGTCTTGGCTGAGCCTTTGGCGGGTTAGTCAAGTCTACTTTTTTATCCACTGGAGTTTTAATGTCTAAAAACAAATAAGTTGAAATTGTAATTCCATAAGAATCAGGTATGGTTAATAAATGTAGAGTTGGAATATTTTCACTTTTATACTATAATTTTGACCTTGCCCTTTTCTTTATCCCTTCTCGCAATGGCTGAAACTATACCTTCATTGACACGAGAAGAGTCATGATGCAATAACTACAAAATATGATTGATATTGTAGTGCACGGAGTAACTTTTATAAGTAACTTTGTTTTTGAGAATCATGGTTCTTAGTTTAAATTTATTTTGTAATCTATTATGTGTATGACAAATCTATTACATGCAGGACAAATCTAATACATGTGTAGGAAAAGTGGATTTGGTTCAGTTATGTCTCTAATATTTTGTTACCATACTTCTCACGGACCAATTCTTCTCCGATGAAACTGAAGCATTCTGGAACGGACGAATTAACACCCCGTGTTAACCGTCATTCATTAATTTAGACCATTGATCATAATTTTATATATAAATTAAGAAAAATATATCCTGTCAATCAATCTAAAATTGTTTATTAATAATAATCTTCATTTTATCTGAAAAGTATATAATTTATTTTTATATTTTAAATTTAAATAATTTCAATCAATTACAAATATATGCCTATAATTGTAAAATTATTTCTTTGTATCAATATTTTTTAAGAATTGTACTCAAATTAATTACATACATCTTTTTAAAAGGTCTAAAAGAAGAGAATTATTTCTTTCTATTCAAAAAATTAATAAATGTTTTTACTTCTAAACAATGATAATCTTTTCTTTATAATATCTTTAACTTTTAATTATTTTTTTATACTTTTTTTATGTAATAAGTAACTAGTGTTATTTTTACAAAATTACACTCATTACTACTTGACTTTTAAAATAACACTTAAAAAACAATTTATTTGATTTAAAAAATAACACTTGAGTGAAAAAAAATCAAACGTAAAACACCAACTTTCATAGTATCAGCACCAAAAAGTTGGACAAGTATAACAATAATCAAGAAGTTGATACCATCACATTTTATATTATTAAAAATATTTGCACATAAATTGACTTCACTATAAAAATTGCAATATATCTAGAGTGAAATATAAATTTAAACTTAGATATGTAAAATGGAAAGAATATTTTCATATTGCATACTTCATTAAATTTGTCATCATCATTGTGAGCTTTCTCACTATAAAATGTTTAAAAACACCCCCTTATATATTTTTTTTATCGGGTTATTATTAATTTTCTTAGTAACTAATAATAATAATAATAATAGAAAAAAATCAATTAGATAACAAGTAGAAAGTAGTAGCATGTGTGAGAAGTCTTAAGCTATATTTGTTTTTAAACCTCAATGTGAACAAATAAGCGTGAATAAGAAGTCATGTGAGAAGTAAAAAGTATAAATAACATAAATAATTAAACATGTTATCTTGCATGAATCAAATAGATGTATTCAGAACATTCATTAAAAGGCAATAAATGGTGGAACTACTTATACATCATGTAATATACATTATGTAATTTTAGGGTACAAATATATTTTCAATGATAAAAAATTATGGATAATAAAATATGTGTAATTTTCTTCCAATAAAATTTACATGAACATAATAAAATGTTATATATTTTTTAAAAATAAAAGTTAAATATTATAATATAAAAGTTTATTTTATGTCTTTTTTTAATAATAAATTATAAAAGAGTAGTTATACCAGAATACACGATTGGGACATGATCACATTTATAATTTCTACTTTTAAATTTATTTGTCTACATCAAATACATAATTTCAACTTTTAAAATATAATGAGTGAGACATGTTAGTCCTTTTGTCATTTTTATCTAAACCAAATATTTATTTTCCATTTTTAAATAGTAACTGACTTGTGGTGCTCCAGTTATCATGTAATAATTGTTAAATATTAACAAGTGTGAGTAGTGTGGATAATAATCTCACATTGGATAGAAATGTGGTGACTTGAACATTTATAAGTGAGAGAACTCATACACCTATCACCTTAAGGTTTTTGGTGAGTATGTGGTGTGTCTCTTACAAATGTGTGCTTTAGAAAGGAAAAGTCCCACAATGTTCAATGCTCTATAGTTGAAAAATCTCCCATAACAATAATGTCTACATGTGTTTTCATAATATTTTGAACAAAAGCGAATTAGAGTCTTGACATTAAGTACAAAAAGGGTGAAGAAAGTTTATAGTTTGATCTTCCATTTTCATCTTAAACTCTTTTATTTCACAAGTTCTACCATCATTTTCTTTACTTTATTGAAAAACGTACTTGGTTGGTTGTTGAATGTTGTTTTCAATTTTTTTTTTAAAATCATTTTGTTTCTTCTTAACTAGTTGGTTGTGATTTTTAGATTATATGTTGTTTGTTGATTTCAATATATATTGATTCACACATTCTTTTTATTCTTTGTTGGTTGTTGATTTTAAGTTATTATTCAATATTTTTTTTTTGATGTTTATTCTTTGTTGAGTTAAGTTGTTCTTTTGCCATATAGCGTGTTTTTCTTTACTAAAATTGTTAAAAAAGCGACTTCGCTCTATACATAATGTTTAGTTTACTAAATTTGTGCTTGATAAAAGATAGTTGGACGTGCATAAGAAAAACATTAAATATTTTGGCCCACTGCCGAATCATGGTTTGACGAGCAGGAAATAATGTGAGATTATTAAGGAAATAATAGGTTGAAGTCAGAATATGGACTAATAGTTGAAACTAGAATATGGACTAATAATAGATAAGAGGTTGAAGATAATCAACGTGGAAACGCTCTTGGTACGATGGTTGAGGTCTTCGATACTATTGTTGTAAGTGGGAGTCAACAAAAACTTGAATGTATTTTAGAGTCACACTTATATAAGAAAAATGATTAGAACTGTCTTTGATTGATCTGATGTGAAATGCGAATAATCGTCATATGAAAATCAACGATATTAGAGGAGAAGCAAGTTAGGTTAGATCATGTCCATGATGTGTTGTTTGGATGTTGTCGTATTGTGGAGATTGCGCAAACATGCATTGATAGAGGTATCTTTCTTGGTGGTTTTGAGGTGAGGGAGGTCCTAGATGTCATTATGACGGTGACACGATAGACGCTGATGTATTAGAGATATCATCGAAGGACGGAGGGCAAAGGAGGCCGATGAGGCCGATGAGTTATAGTCCGACATACACAGTAGTTAATAGTATTTTTAGTTTAGATTTACGTTCGATTGTTTTTTATTTTTACATATTCCGACTTCATTGTATACTTTTGACTTTATTCTTTATTTCATGATGATTTATTTTAACTCCGGATTTATATATGTCATTTTTTACACATCGGTTGTATGGTTTAATGCTCATCACATAACAGTGGTCTTAACATTTATAAACCGTCATTTCCATCTAAGTAATTATAAAACTAGTTTAACTTGCATTGTTTTAACAGGTTATGGAGATACATCTCTATAAACCCAAAACAGAGATGCATCTCTATAGAGATGTATCTCCGGATCAATAAACATTTAAAATGAACTTTTTAAAGAGGGGATGTATGAGGTGTGTTTTGAAATATTTTGGAGTTGCATCTCCGATCGATTGTAACGTTTTAACTTAAGACAAGGTATATCTAAATACATATATCTCTAAAATTTAAGAGTATTTTAGATTTTTCATAGGATATTTTTCTATCCAATAGAGTTGGATAAGAAATTCCCTAAATAAATTTAAATGTTAAAAAAGAGTGACGGTTTCTCATGAGACTCTAAAAAAAATTCACATTTGAGATTTCACTGTTGTTGTGATGCTTTTAGAGAGTAGAGACCCATATTAAATTAACCTGAAAGCCTAAAATATGTTTAGTTATAATTAATGAGAATTTGTTAATGTATCTAAATATTACTACTAGATTTCGTATAAATATAATAGTTCTTTTAAATATCGGAGATTTATTTTCGAATGCATTTTAAATACAATAAATTTATGTGTAAATGAGTTACCCTGTTGTTTTGAGGTGAGAGAGGTCCTATATGTCATTATAACGGTGACACGATAGACACTGATGTATCAGAGATATCATCGAAGGACGGAGGGTAAAGGAGGCTGATGGGCCCGATGAGTTATAGTCCGACATACACAGTAGTTAATAGTATTTTTAGTTTAGATTTATGTTCGATTGTGTTTTATTTTTACATATTCCGACTTCATTGTATATTTTGACTTTATTCTGTATTTCATGATGATTTATTTTAACTCCGGATTTATATATGTCATTTTTTACACATCGGTTGTATGGTTTAATGCCCATCACATAACAGGGGTCTTAACATTTATAAACCGTCAGTAATTATAAAACTAGTTTAACTTGCATTGTTTTAACAGGTTATGGAGATACATCTCTATAAACCCAAAACAGAGATGCATCTCTATAGAGATGTATCTCCGGATCAATAAACATTTAAAATGAACTTTTTAAAGAGGGGATGTATGAGGTGTGTTTTGAAATATTTTGGAGTTGCATCTCCGATCGATTGTAACGTTTTAACTTAAGACAAGGTATATCTAAATACATATATCTCTAAAATTTAAGAGTATTTTAGATTTTTCATAGGATATTTTTCTATCCAATAGAGTTGGATAAGAAATTCCCTAAATAAATTTAAATGTTAAAAAAGAGTGACGGTTTCTCATGAGACTCTAAAAAAAATTCACATTTGAGATTTCACTGTTGTTGTGATGCTTTTAGAGAGTAGAGACCCATATTAAATTAACCTGAAAGCCTAAAATATGTTTAGTTATAATTAATGAGAATTTGTTAATGTATCTAAATATTACTACTAGATTTCGTATAAATATAATAGTTCTTTTAAATATCGGAGATTTATTTTCGAATGCATTTTAAATACAATAAATTTATGTGTAAACGAGTTACCCTGTTGTTTTGAGGTGAGGGAGGTCCTATATGTCATTATGACGGTGACACGATAGACACTGATGTATCAGAGATATCATCGAAGGACGGAGGGTAAAGGAGGCTGATGGGTCCGATGAGTTATAGTCCAACATACACAGTAGTTAATAGTATTTTTAGTTTAGATTTATGTTCGATTGTGTTTTATTTTTACATATTCCGACTTCATTGTATATTTTGACTTTATTCTGTATTTCATGATGATTTATTTTAACTCCGAATTTATATATGTCATTTTTTACACATCGGTTGTATGGTTTAATGCCCATCACATAACAGGGGTCTTAACATTTATAAACCGTCAGTAATTATAAAACTAGTTTAACTTGCATTGTTTTAACAGGTTATGGAGATACATCTCTATAAACCCAAAACAGAGATGCATCTCTATAGAGATATATCTCCGGATCAATAAACATTTAAAATGAACCTTTTATAGAAGAGATGTATAAGGTGTGTTTTGAAATATTTTGGAGTTGCATCTCCGATCGATTGTAACGTTTTAACTTAAGACAAGGTATATCTAAATATATATCTCTAAAATTTAAGAGTATTTTAGATTTTTCATAGGATATTTTTCTATCCTATAGAGTTGGATAAAAAATTCCCTAAATAAATTTAAATGTTAAAAAAAAGTGATGGTTTCTCATGAGACTCTAAAAAAATTCACATTTGAGATTTCACTGTTGTTGTGATGCTTTTAGAGCGTAGAGACCCATATTAAATTAACTTGAAAGCCTAAAATATGTTTAGTTATAATTAATGAGAATTTGTTAATGTATCTAAATATTACTACTAGATTTTGTATGAATATAATAGTTCTTTTAAATATCGGAGATTTATTTTCGAATGCATCTTAAATACAATAAATTTATGTGTAAATGAGTTACACTGTTGTTTTGAGGTGAGGGAGGTCCTAGATGTCATTATGACGGTGACACGATAGACACTGATGTATCAGAGATATCATCGAAGGACGGAGGGCAAAGGAGGCCGATGAGCCCGATGAGTTATAGTCCTACATACACAGTAGTTAATAGTATTTTTAGTTTAGATTTATGTTCGATTGTTTTTTATTTTTACATATTCCGACTTCATTGTATATTTTGACTTTATTCTGTATTTCATGATGATTTATTTTAACTCCGGATTTATATATGTCATTTTTTACACATCGGTTGTATGGTTTAATGCCCATCACATAACAGGGGTCTTAACATTTATAAACCGTCATTTCCATCTAAGTAATTATAAAACTAGTTTAACTTGCACTGTTTTTAAGTAATTATAAAACTAGTTTAACTTGCATTGTTTTAACAGGTTATGGAGATACATCTCTATAAACCCAAAACAGAGATGCATCTCTATAGAGATGTATCTCCGGATCAATAAACATTTAAAATGAGCCTTTTAAAGAGGGGATGTATGAGGTGTGTTTTGAAATATTTTGAAGTTGCATCTCCGATCGATGGTAACGTTTTAACTTAAGACAAGGTATATCTAAATATATATCTCTAAAATTTAAGAGTATTTTAGATTTTTCATAGGATATTTTTCTATCCTATAGATTTGGATAAGAAATTTCCTAAATAAATTTAAATGTTAAAAAAGATTTCCTAAATAAATTAAAATGTTAAAAAAGAGTAATGGTTTCTCATGAGACTCTAAAAAAATTCACATTTGAGGTTTCACTAGAGAGTAGAGGCCCATATTAAATTAACCTGAAAGCCTAAAATATGTTTAGTTATAATTAATGAGAATTTGTTAATGTATCTAAATATCACTACTAGATTTCGTATAAATATAATAGTTCTTTTAAATATCGGAGATTTATTTTCGAATGCATTTTAAATACAATAAATTTATGTGTAAATGAGTTACACTGTTGTTTTGTAAAAGAAAAAATTAATCCAAAAATATATTTATAGAAAAATTTAGGTGTACTTCCATAACCTCTTTTTCACGAGATGCATCTTCTTCACTTAAAAGATATTTTATTTAAAAGAAACATGTGCCATATATGCACACTACAGATCACATTGATGATAACATTTTAATTAGTGATTTAAATGCAAAATAATATCACACACCTAAGATAAGTAACATAAAATTACATATAAAAGCGATTTAAGAAAAACTCATTACACAAAAATATCATATACTAGCATCTAGTGAAAAAACAATCTGAAAAGTGTATAAAAGCATTTGCGTATGTTGAAAAAGAAGATGCATTAGCAATTGCATAACATCCTTAACGGGGAACAAATCATTTTGAAAATCAATTCTCTATAGAAAAAAATGTTTGTCAAAAGTTCCTCCTCCAGACCAACATGGTGTCAGTTACAAGAACATTATCTCGTGCGGCCATTACAGACGCATATGCATGGAAAATCTGGTGATTTGCACGGCGAGAACGGTTTGTTACACTTTAATTTGGGAAACATTTAACAATATTTACGGCTGTGTATCAAAAGCAAAAGCATTATCCATTTTCAAAAATGACCTGAAATGTATGTAAATCTTTGCATTAACCACAGCAAACTTAACACTAATAGGCAAGACTGTACCATATAAGAAGCTGCACATCAGTCAATTTTATCAGTCAATTTTACCATGGTCACAGAAAAAATGGAACCCCTTGAAAAAATTGTATCAGTCAATTTTACCATGGTCACAGAAAAAATGGAACCCCTTGAAAAAATTGTAAGCTAAAATCACTCTCGGGTGACAGTGACCAACTCATATTCAACTAATGAAAGATTGTTATCTTCTCTAACTTCAAAATTTGCAGGTTCTGTGACCTCTATACGCCCCCACCTATCAACTGCCAGCCTCATAGAACCCTTGAACATGTCAATCTTGGCATTACGCAGAATTAAAGTTGCACCTGGTTTCATGAGGTCCACTGCATACAAGTAAATAGAATAATCACCGTTAGAATAAAACTGAGCCAAACTTATATCCCATTCCAAAACAAGCAAGAAACAAGGGCACTAAAACAAAGCACAAAAATTTGTGCAACATAATGTATTGGATAAATATAATACTCATGGCCACTAACTATACACTAGCTTTTACTTGTCACACAAATGCACTCTTAATTTTCGCTAGCCAAATGGCAATCTGAAGCGCCATTTACCGACCCCACTTAGTGGGATAAGATTGGCTGTTGTTGTTGTATATAGGAATTTACTCATACCATCCAATACTTCAAACTCATAGGCTAAACTGTAGATTGTAGGATACGAATTTTTCCATACCAACCAACAAATTTGGTTAATGCCGCATATACATCACTGCAATGCTGAAGGTGGCATGTGTAAGGGTTCCAAAAGTTACCATGCTTCAACAAACATAAAGCCTATTAGAAAAACTTCAATTAGGGCACTCAGTCCCGACATTGTCAGAAACCACAAGACAAAATCACTTTAAGCTAATTCCGCACATCCTGTCAAATAACAGCGTCGTGTAGCAAAATTTGGACAAATTGTAACTGTTACGCAATCCACTCTTTAGTATATAAAGTAGATGGCGGATATAGTGCCGCTATAGCACTATATCAGAGTTTGAAGAAACCTCTATTTCTCCGAGACCCGCAATAAATAATAGACTTGAAAGCATTAATATCTCACAACCCACAATATGCACAAAACCATATCTCCTAATTTAAATTTCCAGAAACACTGAAACAAGATAACATCAACAACCTCTAATCAAAGTTGCCGACATTTACATAACCAGTGAACAACAAAACATAATCATTCAAAGTATCATAGCTTCCATTCACATGCCTTAAAAACTCATTCAAATCCTTAGTGCTTAGAAATGGAACTTAAATTCTATCTTAAATTCAATGAAATGTCAATAACATTGCATATCCAAAAACACTTAAATTCTATCTTAAATTCAATGAAATGTCAATAACATTGCATATCCAAAAACACTTAAATTATACACAAAAAGTTATGTTATGAACAACACGCAAAACAACAAAACAAATCATACCCTGTTCATTGCGAGCGGTGAAGATTATAACTGCAGTTTCGTCTCCAACGATGCATTCAGCGATACGAGTGGGGCGAGAAGCAATCACCGACGATCGAACACCGCGGCTGGGGACGGTCTTCACCGGTGAAGAGCTAACCACCTTCACTGTCAGAGTGTGACCATTCGTTCCTGGTTTCAGCTCATCGGCCTTCACGAACACTGGCTTTCGCTTTATCATTTGAGTCGCCATTGATTCACAGCTCGCGCTTCAGCTTTGTCTCAGAGAGAATCGATCGACCGAACCTGATCACGAACCAAAGTTTAAAAAAATCTCTAACCCTAGTTTTTCAGCTTTTGATTTTGGATTTTGGATTTCATTAATCTTGGGCTTTTTTTTTCTTTCTTTCCGATAAGTCCATTTTATAAGATTTTGTTCTGCCACCCTCTAGTCATATCTGACACTCTATTGGAGTTGTGCTTTTTTAGCATTATGTCTTTGGTGGATTTGATCGGCATTTTAATAAGTGTTGTGTTGTATTAGATTTTTTTCTGAAAATATTAGATTTTTTTTATAAGTTTGTAGTTTCTTGGGATTTAAGATAAATTTATATTGGATTTTTTATAATGCGGATTTTATTGATTTCTATGAAGAATTATCAATTATTTTTTAAAAAATAAAATCTATTGATTCCAATAATTTTTTGAGAATTTTGGAAAACTTATAAAGAAATATTAGTTTTTCTAAAAAGATCCAGTATAGGATTTTGGAACGTTAAGTAAAATTACTGAATTATTTGAAAATGTTATTAACCAAAATTAGATATTGGATATATTGAAAAATCTAGTACATTCTAAAATTTTCGAATTTAAAAAAAAATGGTAAGAAGTGGATATTTTTTATATGTTTTTTTTTTAAACTATTTTTTTTATAATATTTTTAACGTAATGGTAAGGAGTGGATATTTTTTATATGTTTTTTTTTAAACTATTTTTTTTTTTAATATTTTTAACGTAACGGAGTGTGATAATGTTAACATATTTTATTAAAAGTATATGTTGTATAGCCATAATTAATCTCATAAAATATACACATATAATGGATAATATATTATAATATGAATACAAAATAAATTATGTTGACTTCTCAACTTCTGCCCAGAGTCTTACACTTCTCGCGTAAGTTGTTTCTCATGCTCTTGTATTTTTACTACAGTTCTATCTGTAATGATCAGTGACAGGAGATAACGGACAATCAAATTTCAACTTCATTTGAATCCAATAATTGTTGTTAACACAACCAACTCCAATAAACTTATGTCTGCTCATAGCCATAGATGGAGATCTCACTAGTGGGAAGAAAGTGGTGTTAAGGTTCCTAGACGACGAGATCAATATCACATTGAATATATAAGCAATATGGTAACTCATATCATGAATTGTCATCCATTTGTCATGACCCCAAACACCCAAGCTAGATACTCCCAGCAAACTTCTAGCTTTAGATATTGTGTCATTTAACACATTGGAATACAATTGATGGTGTTGATAAACTTCACCATCTAACTACTTCTAAATCAGATACCATGACTCTTCACTCATCCAAGTAAAGCTACAATAACACAAAAACTATAATTTGCATAAGGATCGACATCAATAATGTCTTCAATGTACTCATATAAGAAAAAGGAAATATAGACAAGTAAAAATGTCTTGAAGACTTGCTAGACGATTAACTTGCAGTTGGTTTTGTACATGATTTTCTCCTTGTTTGAATTTCATGTGAGGTCTTGGCATACTTTCACTACAAAGGATCATGATGCACATCACTCTTTTGACCCATTTTACTCTTTTTATTTCTCTTTTTTGGCCTGTATTATACTGGTGGTGAATACATGGAAGTTGTGGATGAATGTTCTAAATAGGCAAGAGAGAGAGAGAGAGAGAGAGAGAGTTGTATTGTTGGGAAAATGTTTGATATAACTACTACATCTACAACAAAGGGGGAAAATTGAATGATACACCACTGGAGCAGGTATTGAATGAGGAAATGAAAAACATCATAGTGGTTAGACAAGTTTGGGCTGACATGAAAGAGGAAGAGCAATCATTCGTCTCAAAAACAAATAGGAAAAAACACACTAATCATTCAAGAAATGCAATTCAACTCTACAACTACCTCTCTAAGCGTGTAAGGATCATTTAGCCAAGTGATGTTCAAGATTGAATGGTGCAACATACAATATGGGTGTTCAAATCCAAACAGATAAAAAAAACCGCAAACTGATCCAAACAAAAAACAAAAAATGATAAAAATAAATAAATATTATTAGATGTGTTTATATGTTATTTTGTAAAAATCACTCTATTCCGATCAAATTTCGGATTGATTTTTCAATACCGGTCCAAACCAAACTGAACCACATGTATATATTTTTATACTTTTTTATTCCTTATTAATTTGATATTTTGTATTAATTTATTATTTGATGACTTATTTTTTTATACTATTTATTAATTTGGTTTAATGTATTTATTTTTGTTATGTTATCTATTTCAACAATAATCGATCATTCTCATTTTATAATATTAATTTTTATTATATCATATGTTATATATTATATCAAACATATTGTTTATTAGTATTTTTATAATATTAATAAAAAAATATAATTTTTAATTTGGATATCCCAAAATCGATCCAAATTAAACCGTATAAAATTGAATTGGATTGGATCAAATTTTTTTGAGCTCTCATTCAAAATAGAATCAAACCACGAGTATATTTATATTTAGATCTGATGATTTTGCCTCAAAATCAATCCAAACTACACCACAAACGCCTACTTAACACACAAGTTCACCTTAGGAGTGAATTTTGTCACAAAAATTCATCAAACATTTTGATATGAAATTAATCATTCAAATTATGAGATATTGGATCGAACTCTAGTTAGCATGCTGTCGAAGTTTGCTCACATGTTGTTGTCGAAGACCTACATGTTGTAGTCGAATTGTGTTCTAGTACGTAGTTGTCAAATTGGGCCTTGTGTTAAAGATCCAATTGTTTAAGTTAGTTTGTACCCTAAGTTAGCTTGTAATAGGTAATTGTTAAAAAGCCCATTTGGTTAGTGTGCTATTTTTCTTATAAATAGGATGTTAGTTTCTTAATCTTGGCATAAGGAAAAATAGGAAGATAAAATCCTAATTTCAAGAGAGAGAGAGGTTATTTTTTTATTCTTGTATACTTGTAATCTTATTCTAAGAGTAAGGAAAGGATAACAGTTTATAACCAATCCTTGTTGTTCCTTGTTGTTTTACCTTGGTTTCTTTGTTAACCCTAACCCTTGTGTATTTCTTGATCATAAAGAAACCGTTTATACTTTATTTCAAGACATCCGATTCACAACAGATTGGTGCGGTGAGCATGGAGAAGATGCCCTCAACAAAGTATGAGATTGAAAAGTTGATCAGAGTGAACGACTTCGGCCTATAGCGCTTGAAGATGAAAGCCCTACTAGTTCAACAGGGTTGTTTGGAAGCGTTGAAGGGAGAGGCAGGAATGGATGCTGCATTAATGACATAAAAAAAGACGGGCATGATTGAGAAAGCCCATAACGCAATATTGTTGAGCCTTGGTGATAAGGTTCTTCGTCAGGTATCAAAGGAGACTACAACGTCATGATTATGGGTGAAACTTGAAAGTTTATACATGACCAAATCTATGGTGAATCAAATCTACCTAAATCAAGCTTTGTATTCATTCAAGATGAGTGAAGACAAAGTGTTGGCTGAGCAGTTGGATATGTTCAAGCTGATTCTTGATCTTGAAAATATTGATGTGAAGATCGATGATGAAGATCAAGCACTATTTTTGTTGTGTGCTTTGCCCAGAACACATGCTCACTTCAAAGAAACTCTCTTGTATGGAAGAGAGTCCCTGACCTTTGAAGAAGTTAAATCAGTCTTGTATTCTAAGGACTTGAACGAACGAAAGAAGCATAAACTTTTGACGGTGGGCGGAGGTTTGGCCGTTAAGGAAAAATTCTTGCAAAAGGATGGTAAGTTCGATAAGAAGAAAGGTAAAAGTCAACAGAAGTCTTATAGCGGAGAAACATCTGGTATTCGATGTTATCACTGTAAGAAGGAGGGTCACACAAGAAAGGTGTGTCCTGAACGCCTGAAAGATCATGGAGGTAATGGCAACACAACCATTGTTCAAGATGACTTTGACTCATCTGATGTTCTTGTGGTTTCAAGTGGCGACTCTAGAAAATAGTGGATTATTGATTTAGGTTGCACTTGGCACATGATTCCAAACAGATAATTGTTCAAGGAGCTATGTGATCAAGATGGTGGATTTTTGCTGCTGAGAAACAACAAATCTTGCAAAATTGCAAGTATTGAATTTGTAAGATTCAAGCTCCATGATAAGTCAATAAGGTTATTGACTGAAGTCAAGTATGTGCCTGACTTGAAGAGAAATTTAATTTCTCTTGGTGAATTTGACAGAAAGGGATACGTTTTTCAAGGAGAGAAAAGTATCCTAAGAGTCATGAAGGGGTCGAAGGAAGTCTTGAGAGGCGTGAAGAAACGAAGCTTGTATACCCTTGAAGCTGAGGTTCTAAGTGGTTCGACAATTGTTGCATCCACTAAACCTATGTCAAAGACAAAATTATGGCATATGAGATTAGGACATGTCAGCAAAAGAGGCCTGGTCAAATTGGGGAAGCAGAACCTGCTAGGAGGTGACAAAGTCAAAAAGTTGGAGTTTTGTGAGTCTTGTGTATTTGGTAAATCCTGTAGGGAAAAGTTTAACAAAGGTAAGCAAAGAACACATGGATCCCTGGATTACATTCATGCTGATCTTTAGGGGCCTGCAAGGAATCCTTCACACTCAGGTGCAAGGTATTTCCTATCCATCGTTGATGATTATTCCAGAAAGCTATGGGTATTCATTCAGAAGACGAAAGATGAAACTTTTGAGAATTTCAAAAGTTGGAAGATTTTGGTCGAAACTCAAACTGGCAGAATAGTTAAGAGGTTGAGAACCGACAATGGCCTTGAATTCTGGAATAAAGCGTTCAACAGTTATTGTGTTGAGTCTGGGATTACAAGGCATAAGAATGTAGCAGGTACTCCTCAACAAAATGGCTTAGATGAGAGATTCAATCGAACAATCCTTGAAAGGGTTGGATGCATGTTGGTTACTGTTGGATTGAAGAAGGTGTTTTGGGCGGAAGCTGTTTCGAC